AACTTTTTAACTTTGGAGTTTCTCAAAGAAAATTTTTTTACTTTACTAAGTAAACCTCTTTTCAATGCCTAAGTAAAGTTGTAGAGGAGTGTCTTGAGAACATAATGGTGGTTAAAACATTAAACTCAGTCTAGTAGATTATGAGATATAAATATTTTTATCTTTACAATTATATGTTTTCTTCTTTATTTTTAGCTTTGAACTAGTTCATGAACTGGTTTATAGGAACACTATCTGTAAGATATATATATGATATGTATAGGATATGTATAAAATATATACAGGATATGTGTTCAATATCCTGTATGAACTCTATATATATTTGGTACCTGATTTGTATTTAATAAAGTACCCAGTTGGTAGCAGATAAGTATAAGAATAAATATCAATATTTATACTACACCTATTTGATACCTATTAGATACCAAATATGTGTAGCTTTAAATACCCAATATGTATAGGATATTTTGATTTTAACCTGTATAACTAAGTTATATGCTTTGCTTATATCTTATAAAAAAATCTATAGTTGATTGAAGTTGTATATAGCATTTTTATAATATTATTAAAAATATAAATTAAAGTAGAAATGGAGTTGCTAAAAAGTATAACATAATTAGCTATTTAGACAGTTGATAAACAATTTAGTATAGAGCTTTTTGATATATTTAACAAGGCTTATAAGTCTAGTATTAGCTAAGTTTTTATCTAAGACTAGTTTTTTAAAAATAAAAATTTTTTTTTTATTACTTGAAAATTGTTTAAAAAGAGAGACATTAATTGAGAAGAGCTATTATAGCTTGTATAAAGCTAAAGCTAGCATGTTTAAGCATTTTATAGCTTATATTAGAGAGTTTACAGGCTTTGTTGTTAAGTAGTTGACTTAGAGTAATAAATATTTCTTTTTGAAACAAATTTACAAATACTTTTTAGGAATAGTTCTGCAAAGTATAGAGTTTGGTGTTGTATTCTGATTGCTAGTAAGCAACAAATATTGTTTAATTAATTAAACAAAAAGTAGTTTAGTTATTAAAATGTTATTGAGAATATAATTTAATAGCAGTAAGGTTTGTAATAACCTTCTAGTTAAGTTTAATATTATTAAACTTTGCTAGGTCTTTGTATTAGTTTAGAATACTATTAAGCATTGAAGCTAGGTTAGTTGTAGCTTGATATATCTTTTTATAATTGTTTTTATAATTTGTTAATATGTTTATTCAATGTTATTTAAATTATATATATAGTATAGCTTCTTTTACTTAGAGTTGGCTTTGACTATCTAGTCTGTAATTATACATGCCGCTGAAATTATTTTGGTTTTGGGACCCGAAATTAAAAATTTTTCCCGAAATTGTTTTTGATCTATTTTACTTAAAACCTGAAATTTTTGATACTTTTTTTGAATAGACCAAAATATAAGGAACATAAATATAAAAATTTTATTTGCACTCCTTATAAAAAATTTTAATTTATTTTTGAAAACCCAAAATAGGCTTTTTTTAAAAATCAATTTCAGTGGTATGTATATCTGTAATTAAACTAGATAGAGGTATTTCTAGATTATGTAATTTGTTAAGTTAAACTATTATTGTATCAAGATGGGTTGGAACTTATTGACTGAACTTGGTTAGTTATTTTATAGTTCTTATTATATTGCCAAGTTTTTTAAAACTGTAATAAAGCTAAGTGGTTTTAGATAAAAAAGTGTAGTAGAAATTGCAAATTGCAAACTATTTGTTGAGAATATGCTTAATAGCTACAGTAATTAGACTAGTTTAAATTTTGTAATATATAGTTTCAAGAAACTCAAGGGTTAGTAGTATAAGAGGTGTATAGCATTGCTATAGATTTGAAGTAACTTGATTTACAAAGTCTTTATATTTTTTTTGGTTTATTATAATCAAAAACTCTTTTTCAAATAAAAGTTTTATATTTTTGGCAGTTCTGTCTATGTATAAAAAAAAGCCATATAAGATAAGAATTTTGTGATCACTTTGAATACTAATATTAGAAATATTTGTATTGTAATCTATAAGATATTGAAAGATTGGTTAGGTAGTTCTAGATAAAGTTAATCTCACTGCTAAAGTTGGCTCTATACTATGTGTAAATAGATTTGTTTAAGCATAATACCAAACTATACATGTTGTTATATGCCAGATACAGTTGTCCCTCTATATAGTCACCTCCCATATAATTATATCATATGTAATCACATTTTTATTTAGGCCAAACTATAATTTAATTTATAAGAAAAAACCTTCTATATAAGCACAATACTCTATAAGCACATTTTTAAAAAAAGTTACTATGTGCCCAACTGTGTGATTGTATGGGAGAACGACTGTATTGAAAAAATTTATATTTAATAAATTGTGAATAAATATTGTTTGTAGATATATTAAAATTCTCAAAAATTATTGGAATAATATTTTGTACTTTGGCCTGTTAAAGCCATTAAATTATAGTATTTTGGGTTTAGAATTGAAGATATATATTATTGCTAAAAAGATAAAAAGAAATAATATAGAATTTGAAATTATGTTTAAAGAAGAGATCAATTGCTATTGCATATCCGAAAACTATGTTAATATTCTATATTGTGCTACCTATACTAAAATCAACTAATATTTTATTTATTACCTAGATAATTTTTTTATTTTTTTTTAATACTAAAGTAGAAATATCATTATACAAATTTATAAAATAATTAGCATTAATTAATATTATAACTGCTAGTTTTCAAAACTAATCAAATATTAATATCAAATAATATAATATTTAAACTCTGCAATAAAATATATTCTATATTTGTAATACTAAATTTATACCCTAATATATACTGGTTATATTTCAAGCTAAATTAAAACACAAATTAATCTGATTTTTAATTACAAACTCAAAATTTTCAATTTATAAAATTATAAATACAGTATTTACTTAAAATATCAGAAAAACTTTACATCTGCTAATTGTCAACATTACTTACCTTATCAGAATTATTTATAAGCTACCAAAATGAATATATTTTAAATTAAGAAATTCATCAATGCCATATTTGGAACCTAAAAACATTAAAAGAATTAATGAATTTAATGTATGAAAATATTCGGGTGTAAATATTAATTATATTATTGTGCAGCCGTGTTATTGGCGATGCACTAAAAATTCTCATATTTGTACAGTTTACGTCGTCACTAATTTATCATCTTATTTAAGAGAAAAAAAGGAAGTTTAAATTGATGACGTAAATTATACGAATGTGAGAAAATAGTATAGTCGTCAATAATTGTTTCACAATAATATCGTTATTGCGTAGAGTGTAAAAATATTCACATAGATGTTGAATGACGGCAGATGATTGGCTTAGCCAATCATCTGCCGTCATTCAACACCCATGTGAATATTTTTTACACCCTATTCAATAACTATAGATTACCTTCACGTCCAAATCCAGATTCTTTGACCTAGTTACAAAGTCAAACAATAAAAATAAATATCTGCTAAAATTATAGATACGGTGATTAGAACAATACTTACTCCACCGAAGGGTGCTTCACAATTGCTAACCATTCCTGCATTAACACCAACCATTCCTACTTCCAAAGCGTCTGCTACTTGCCAACACCTGCCAACATCTCTACTATAGAAATAACCAGCCAAACCAACATTGCTATTATTCGCCAACTTTATAACTTCTTCATCTCTATCAAATTTGTACAATGGTGCTACTGGGCCAAACGTTTCTTCGCTTGTAATGATCATATCAGTGGACATTCCTGTTAAGACGGTTGGGTCAAAGAAATTCCCACTACGTCGGACACCACCTACAAGAATTTCAGCACCTTTTGCAATAGCGTCTTCTATATGACGCGTAACTTTATCAATTGCTTTTTCATTGATTAAGGGCCCATGAGTGGTTTGTGGATCAAATCCATTACCGACTTTGAATCCACTTACTCTGTCCGCAAGCCGTGATGCAAATTCAGCATATATGGCCGATTGTACGTAAACTCGATTGGGACAGATACAAGTTTGACCAGAAGCACGAAACTTTGAAGCAATTAAACCTGTACCAAAAAAAAAATTAGTTTTAATATAAATTTAAATACCAACATTATAAGAATAAAATACAAATCAAACCTTCAACAGCTGCTTCTACATTTGCATCATCAAACACTATGAATGGAGCATTACCACCAAGTTCCATTGAAAGTTTCTTCAGCGTACTAGAGCTTTGTTGCATTAATAATTTACCGACCATTGTCTGTCAATTTTGACCAAACACTTTAATCAATTTTTAAAAGTTAACAGTACAAAAATTTTCACATCAAATAGACATAGATTTAATACCGAGCCAGTAAAGGAAATTTTCTTCACATCGGGGTTTGTCTAGCAAATAATATAACAACAATTAAGTATCTTTTTTTATCATATAAACAAGTCCGTCTGGATTTAAAATACCGTCAATTCTAATCCAACTTCTTTGGTGCATTGTTCTGTTGTCACCACATTAATCACACCTTTGGGAAATCCAGCTCTAATTGCTAATTCTGCCAATGCCAGTGCTGAAAATGGTGTACAATCACTAGGCTTTACCACAACAGTACAACCAGCAGCCAACGCAGCTCCTAATTTACGTGTAATCATTGCATTAGGAAAATTCCAAGGTGTTATGATTCCTACAACACCAACCGGTTGTTTCTGAACTATAAATTTAGAATTTTTCATTGGAGATGGTATAACATCTCCATAGGTACGTCTAGCCTCTTCAGCAAACCATTCAATAAAAGTTGCACCGTATTTTACTTCACCTAGAGCTTCGTTAAGTGGTTTACCATTTTCAAGAGTAAGAATAATTGCCAGATCCTGTTGGTTATCTAAAATAAGTGAATACCACTTTTGAAGTAGGTCATGGCGATGCTAATAGTAAGAGAAGAAAATATCATAAGTTCAAATTATTTTTTTATAAATTTAAGCCTTATGATTTTGTGATAGGTTTATTTCATTAGAGAAATAATTATGTAAATGGCTATTTTAAAAAAAAACCTTGGCAGTTTGGCTAGCCCAATTATCAAAAGATTCTTTGGCAGCTTTAATTGCTTCTTTCGTATCTTCCGCGTTCATTTCAGGAACTTTCCCAATTTCATTACTAGTAGCAGGATCTAATCGTATTATAATATTACAAATTCTTTCAGGATCATATTCAAAAAAATAAGAAATCATATAAGTATGTACCTAATACTGAATAGGTGTTCCCTGACTTTGCTTTAACCCATTCACCATTAATAAAAGCATTTTGACGAAGTAATGATGAATCCTTAAGCTATATGAAAGATTATATATTATTAATTAACATTAAAATGTATATTTGAAAAAGTTATTTTTCAACATATGTATTACGCAAACCTTTGGTATTTCAACTTGAGTCGCAAAAGGTTGATTCATTTTCGAATAGTGAAAAATATTTAATCCTCTATTGATAACTTTGCCGTGGTAAACGTGTCGAGAAAGAGTTCTTGTAAGGGGGTTTGAAATAACTTTTTGGAAAATCATCTGTCTTAATCGTGTGAAAATCTGACCGAACAAAAAAAAATTTTTATTTTTATGACAAAATTGGAATAGCCAATCGTAGATTAGACAATAAAGCCTGATATCATCATATTGATATCATCGTTATTTGATTATCTAGGCTACACATGCCGTAGAAAGTATTCTGGCATAATTTCTACCTAAATTTGGTGTGCGACATTGTCTAAAGCTATTCGTGCAGCAATTAATATATTTACTAACAAGATATGCGCTCGCCCATGCGCTGGGTGTTTTTTTTTCTGCTATGGTCACGTCATCTATACTCACCAACATTCCAAAATTTAAAATAATAAATGTCGCGGCTGAAGCTGGAAATTTTAATTATTTTAATATGAAATTTTCTTTTTTAGGTTAGGTTAGGGTTTTAATAATAAAAGAGTATATGTGAATTTTGGTAGGGTTTATATTTTTAAATCAAGGTCTCTAATTTCCAGCTTCAGCTGCGACAATAAATATGATACAAATTTACTATTACGGCTTATTTTTTAATATCACTTAAATTAAAAGGCAAGATGTTACTTTAAGTTATATTAATTTTTTTTGATGACTATAAATGATGTGAACCATAGAGTTTGAAATCAGTTCTATTTTTCACACGTGAAAACCAGTTTTAATTGTTTCAATACAGTATACGAACAAATAAGACTGATTCCAAGTTCACTTCTGAGTCAATATTTACAATTTGGATAAATCCATCATCCGTTTATTCGTATCTAATTATCCGGATAATTCAAATCGCTCAGATATCCGGATAAAAAATTCCTACCCAGATATCCGATGGATAAATGGATAATGGATAGGAACACTAATATTTAGTTCATTACGGCGAATTTTTGGAATTGGCCCGAATTAAGAACCCGAATTAATATTTGATTATCATAATTTTACATGATGCATCTATTAAAATTAGAGTTAAAATTTTAGAGGTAGCTACCCCAGCAAAAATATCACGCCGATACGGCATATTTGCTGTATAAGTAGAAATGCCGTGGTAGTATCGGTTCTGGAATTTCCTTACCTCCCCACTTCGTTTGTGAGTACCACCACCAATGATTAAATCGTTCGATCATTCCATTTGTTTGAGGTCGCCGTATGCCGTATACCGTCGTCCACCTTAATTTAGTGGGCGAGTATAAAGATGATCTATTAATCGAATTAAAAAAGTGAATCATTTTTGAAAACATTTATTTACTACTAATACCCTTCAGATTACCATTCTGTTCGGTCAGTGAGTATTACAATAAATTTTTAATAATATAAAATATATATGATTAAAATGGTGACACGGTAAAAGTATACATTATAATAAAGACAACACGTTTAAAGCATGGTGTTTGGCATGTGATCCCGACAAGCAAAACAAGAATATTAATAATTGCATTAGAGAATTTCAGCAATTGGATCCTTCAAAAATAACTCGACATTAGCGCTCATGGGCGTCCCGAATTAACGCGCATCCTAATGTGCACATAATTTATTGTTGCGATATGCGTACTCTCTATAAGTGTAATTCCCCTATAATGATAAATGCACATAATATTATAGGTCTAATGTAATTATTTAATATTATCGTTATATGTAGATTATGCTCCATAAATAATATTCTATAAATGCATTTTTACCCAAAAACTGTATTGGACTTAGAAAATCTACTCTTATTTCGAAATAACGTTTATACGGTATCAAGAGGATTTGGTTATGTATATTCAGCAATGGTATACGAAAATTGATTATAATTGATTTTTTGTGTTTACTTGAAATTCGATTAGTAACGCTATACGGCATACTACATCACTACCTCACGGCATCATTAATTAATTAAACCACATTTCCCACAAACTTTTATAAGTAGTTTCTATTGTATAAATATATTTCTTAAATAAAATATAGTACTATAAACTTATGCACCATATGCTTCGTCATAAAATTTTAGAGTAGTGTAAAAATTCGCCATAATGTGTATCTTTGATTTATAACGTAGTATATTTTGTGTTATGTCTTATGTAAAGTATCGACCATGTGTATGTACACACATATATTGATATCTCAAAATCCTGATTATATAATAGCTTTTGGGGTTCTAACAAAAAATATTC